ATTTGAGGAATCTGACCACTACTGTTATTCAATAAATGTTTAACAAAGCCTTAACTGCACTGCATAGGATGGATGGGAGCAAGGAGAGGTTGATAGCGGGTGGGACAGTTAGGAGGCAATAGTAAATGGTGATAGGGCTTTTCCCTCTGGTGATGACACATTTTATGCAACGTGGCAGTAATTCTAGAGCAAATGGCTCACTACTTATTAGTTGTTGTAGTCATTATTATTAATTATTAAATGCTGTGTGCTGAGGTGAAACTATTTTAATTGGAATATTATTTAAGTAGTTTATTATCCAGCTTGTACTCTCAGGTGTGATTTGAAAATTGTTCCTTCCAAGATATGTTAGGCAAAGATGACAAAGGGAGAGAGAGTCAGCAATCCTGAGGAACTTAATATCTTCAGGTGTGAAATACTTGGAGTGCTGTTTACTACTAGAAAAATGTTGAGTTAGGTATTTACAGTTTACAGAACAGTTCAACTAAACATGAGAAAAATGAATTAATAATTAGAAATGTTGTTAGAACTATAACTTCCATCAAGTATAATACAAAAAATAGACTCCTAATGTTAAAAGAAGTAATGGGGAGGAGGAATATAAGGTAGAAAAGCTTGTGTTTCTCTTTTCTTTTTTCTAAGTTTTCTTTTCTGGCTAAATTTTGAAGTCATTTAGAAGCACTCTTCAAAAACAGGTTAAATAACAATATAGTTTCACTAAAATGTGAACAAAGCTTATTAATTACTTATTATGTCCCAGGCACTGATTTAAGCTGGAGGCACATTAGTGAATGAAACAGGGTGACTACTCTGCCCACATGAAATTCACTTTCTAGTGAAATAAAACAGGTAATAAGTAAGGCACTGGATGCTGTGTCAGGAAGCAGTGATCGAAACTGTTAATGCTGCACAAACTGAGCTTGTGGCCAAAAGGAGGAGGTTAAAGGAGCTTTATTGGAAATGGTAAGAAATAGCTTGTGATATATGTGTCTCATGAAGGTATTCTGAACAGAAATTCAGACTGTGGACCCTGCCCTGCTCTTACACGAACAGGCAAAGTGCAGAAAGGGGCTTGTTCCAAAGGAAAGAAGCTTAAGCGTTCAAAAGAGACTCGCGTTTCTACCATCTACTGCTTTTCTAACATTTCTCAAGGTCTGAGGTGTAGGGGAGGTTCAAAGTCCAGTTGAAATGGGGTCCAAAGGTAGGGAGGAACTGTTAGAGCTGGTAACTAATTTAATGTATGCTGGATAGGAGTCTTCCTCTGGGAAAGAAGAGTCCATAGCTTTCTGTTGTTACCCTAACCTTGTATCCTTCATTCTTACTGTTTCTCTTACATTTCTAAGCTTAACCAGCTACTTGAATTAGTTTTTTTATCTGACCCTATTGTTAGGCTGCTCTCCTCATAGTAGTGGAAATAAACTACTACACTATGAGGAAAAGCAAACCAAAGGAGGCCACAGGCGTTCTGAGCACATTATAATTCTAAATAGAGGTTGTCAAAGTAGACCTTGCCAAGAAAGTGGCGTTTGAGCAAAGACTTGAAAGAATCTTTAAATTTGAAATTTGACAAGAAGTCTTTTTATCAAAAATTTTATTTTTTACCATTTTAAGCACCAATGGAAAAGAAAAGATGAAATCCCCAAAGGGAAGGGTGATATTTTATTTGTCTTTGTATTGCCAGGTGTTTTGGTGATGCTTGGGTGATATTCCTTTCCAGGTTTCATACATAAGCCCTGTTCATACATAGTTCTTTTAGGAAACGAGGACAGTGGGGAAACGTGTTCATTTATCACCAGAGCCTAGCAAGGTTCTTAGCACACGGTAGGAACTCAGTGATATTTGTGACTTGAGTATCTACATTGTCATATGAGCAATGTAGACACATAGGAGCCATGTCATGATAAATCTCTTTGTTTTGTCGAACTATTTATATAATCATTTGGTTACTGTTTCTGTCATGCTACAAGTGTAAACATATTTCCTTTTATTATGGTTTCCTTTTCACTTACAGCTTTCAGAATACCAAAGAGCTCTCACGGTAGGCACTTACATTATAAGTTAATATTACAATCTAATTCCTAGGCCGTGCACTTTTGTCTACTAGGATTGAGGGTATACTAAAATATCTTATGGTGGTAATAATGTGATTTCTTTTGGACTCATTGGGATGAAATAGCATTTGGGGAACTGTTAGCTAGGAAAGGGGATTCTAAATAATGTCTCTTTGTTCAGAGGGCCTCTATCAATTCATAGATAAGTCAATTGGTACTCATCATTTTAAACTCATTGGAGACCAGAGTAGTTAAGAAGAATATAAAGGGTACTGTAGGCAATAAACAGCAGCCTTGTAACAATATAATGTGTAGTGGAAAAGAGAATTGGAAGATCTATAAAAACTGCCAAAAAGAACAAAAAATATAATTAAAGGAGCAAAAGACATATTGAGCACAATCTCAGGGACTGTTCCAGGCAGCAGTAAATGTCTCCTCAAATATATCTTTAGAAAAAGGAAAGCAAAGTAGAAAACTAGTCCCAAGGAGAAAAAAAAAATACCAAATAGAATTTTAGGAACAGGCTAGCAAGAGCTGGATTTGCTTATGGTAATTTTACCTTTCTTTAAAATATTTAAATAAGGACTAACCCAAAGATCCGATAATTTGAAATTCTTAGATGAGAAAAGAATAGAGGAAAGCAAAAAGAAAATATAAACAAAGATGATATTTTAGATAGTCATGGATCAGGGGAGAGCAGATAAACTGTCACATAGACAATATTTGAATTTTGCAATTTACACCTGTTTTGCCAAGTATATATTTTTTTGATTCCATGAAAGTTACATATTATTTAAGAAAATGTTTTTGCTTTCATAAAATGAAAGCATTTCAGTTACACAAGAATTCCAGAAGAGCAGAATATCATGTTTCCAGTAGAAAACATTTTTTGAGTGAATTTTCAGTACTTGGAGCAAAGGTTTCACCTAGTGATACATGTCAGAGTTATTTGGAGGGTTTTTCCAATAAACACATCCCTATTGAGAATCATCTTCACAGAATAGCTTACAATAATCTTCAGAAATTCATCAAACACTATCACTTACACCCTAAAATGACTAACCTCTATCTCGAATTATAATTAGACAAAAAATTGACAAATTGAAGCAAAATATAGAAGAAGAAAAACGTTATTAAAAGTGACATACAAAGTTGATTTCCTAGGCACAGAAGCAGGATTCAGACATGTGTGATAAGCCAATCTATGCCCGAGAAGTCTTGTCCCCTCTCAAATTAAATTAATTATTGTGCTTTCCTTTGTGCTGAGTAATTCCAAAATCTTTTTTTTAAACGTAGTGACTGTGAAAACAAACCACAACTACTGAAAGATAGTGTCAAGCTTGCAATTTCAAGCACCTGCTCCAAGGCTATAGATAAAACTTTAGTTTGAAGGTAATTGGATTGCTGCCCAGTAAAGAACAACAATTTTTTGGTAAACCCTGCTCATGAACACACACACACACACACACACACACACACATACACACTCATGCTCTCGCACACAAGCGTGTATAAGATGTGCAGTACAGAACTTGTTTCAGTTTTTCTCAGAAGTACAAACTTGAAATTCACATGTTAGACTTCCGATTTAAAAGAAAGCTAAGCTCAACTCATGGTCAAACTTTTTTTAATAATCAGTATAATTTGATATAATTTTATTTTTTAAATTTTTTAGTTATTAAAACAAAAATTTATTTTTTAAAAGTATAAAAAGAATAAAAAGAATATTAGAAAAGTATATTTGTACCCATCTCCTTAACTCCAGGCTGTTGGAAGTAAATCTCAGGTATCAATTCATTTGATGCTTTAATATTCTAATATGTAAGTTTTATAAAGACATGGACTCTTACAAATCAAAGTACAGTATTATCATGAATCCCAAAAGTTTTTATTTAATATAATCAAGCATAAATTATTAAGATTTCCTCAGTTATTACAGAGATGGTTTTCTTCATAGATTGTTTTTTTAAAAACAAGGCTTAAATTAGTTTGTCCTAGAGACTGTCTTCTGAAGTCTAGATCTTGCCTCCCAGGTGTGGTTTAAGACATTTTTCTCTCCCCTGGATTTATGGCAATTGGGAGTTAGATTTAAATTATTTCACTGGGAGAGTTTAGAGTATTTATGAGGAGGGGATAAAATCTGCTTTCTAGATGTTTCTCTAATTGTCCCTTTTCTTAGGCAAGAATTTTATAGAGTCTGATTCAAAGATTAACATGGCAAAGCAATCAAATTCAGAATGCCCGTAGTCTAAAGAGGGAACCAGACATGGATGTAATTAACTCTAATGAAAAGCAAAATAATGATATGCTTGTAGAGTGTTCCATAGTGCTTGCTTTTGTATCAATACTAAAAATGAAAAAACTCCAGCTTCTTCACAACCATAATGCTGGTGTGAAGAGGGCAGCCCCTGGACAACTCCATCAAATATAAGAGCTATGTGGAGCACTGTGTGATAGATAATCTTGAAGATTTCTTCCACCTCTAAACATTGGAGTGAGGGTGAGCTGTGTGCTACATGGTACAATTCACAATGCTTTTGCAAGCTCACGAACTTCCCTTAAAGCTATACTGGAGTGAAGCTAGGGAATACTAAGGAGGGAAAGATAGGCCATAGCATTTCAGCTAAACTGAAGCCTTTCTGGCTTGTCAACAACTCTACAAGTAGTTTTAAAATAGGCAATGTATTGACATGCTTCGGTTCCTCTTTCAAGCAAAACAAAAATCTGCCAGGTGACAAGAGCCATATCTTGGAAGAAAAGTGACAAGAAGCAAAAGAACAATCCCAAATCTGGGAAATATGGTTTCATTAAATATACTGTGCATTTCTTTAATATGCTTTATATTTTACCTTTGAAACGTGTGTGTGTGTGTGTGTGTGTGTGTGTGTGTGTGTGCGTGTTGTAGTTTGTATTCTACTAAGGTTCATACAACTGATTTTTTGGGCACAGACAGCACACATTGTCCTTGAAGATGGAACGAAGATGAAAGGCTACTCCTTTGGCCATCCATCCTCAGTTGCTGGTGAAGTGGTTTTTAATACTGGCCTGGGAGGGTGAGTAATGCATCTCTTGCGAGGCTTTATTCTTTCACTCTGTAGAGGGATATCTGGCTGATGTTACTCCCGGAGGGGACACAGAATCACAGTATCATCAGACCACTTACTCCCCTGTGCCTTGTGCACAACAGACTGCAGCCCTCCCTGATCAGAGGTTTTGACCTGAGTGTCCTGCTAATGCAAATAATGAGGACATGGGTGCTCCACTGGGTCCCTGGGAAGAAAAGAATGAAATTCATTCTAGAAACTTATGCTGTGAAGACACAGGATAAATGAGATTACTATCTGCCTCTTAGGGGATACGGATCTGAACAGCGGAACAGGGAAAAGAACGGATAGCACGTGCCACTGCCATTCCATTATTAAAGTTAAGAAACAGTTTTGTACATGCAATATGAAATATTATAATTCAATAAGGAGATAAGTAAGTCTTTCAATGTTTCATATAATTTTGTACTCAAGAAAGATGAACCAGCAGATGTACTTACTGCCTTAAAAATAATCAATGTGAGGGTAAGCACATAGACCTAGTATTTTTAATAATTATTGATCATGACTGAGCTTAGCACTTAAGATCTATTGAGTTATGGTAAGGAAGATAAGGGTAGCTACAAAAATCACTGGGCTAGTCCTGAAATTTCTGGCTAGTCCAGAAATGTTTGTATTCATCTGGGAGCCAAGAAGCTGAAGTTCTGGTCTCAGTTTTTGGCTTTCACTTTTTAAATCCAGGGCCCCATGCATGCTGAGCAAGAACTCTGCTGAGTTACATCATCGGCCCTTGTTATTTTTTATTTTGAGACAAGGTCTTGCTAAGTTGCCTAAACTGACCTCAAATGCACAACGCTGCCTCAGCCAGCAAGGGTTGTACATGTGCGCCACTATGCCTAGTCTGGTCTAGATTCTAATGATAACTGGTGATGTGATACTGAGAACATCAATTAATGTTTCTGAGTTTTGGTTTTTTTATTTGAAATTTAAGGAGGCTGGATTAGACAGTAGTTCACAGCTGAGGATTTAAAACAATGAATCTACAGAAGTGACTAGATTTTTTTTCAAAGGGTTTATGTTAGAGATTCCATAAAACAACCTTGATATATTTTATGAATTTGTTAGGGAAATTCAAGTTAGCCTTGTGAAGGCAAGAGGGTATTGGGTTAACTAGAAGATATTGATTGATCCAGCTGTCATTATGTTATTAATGCATATTCTTTCCAAAACTCTTGCCTGTCTGTGTGAAATGAAGAGTATTAGATAGTTTTTAAACCAGTTTCACTAGTGAGAACATTAAATTACAGTGTATGAAACCTGTGTGTAAAGTTTTGCCTCACTAAGCCATTATTTAAGCTTTTCGACAGCACTAATTACTAGCTGTGTTAATATACCTGCCAACAAACAACTGTTTAATATAGATCAGAATGATGGAGGGCACTAGAGTTTTCTTATCAATGATAGATTACGGGTAATAAATCTTGTCACATCACAAAAGTCAAACAGGACCTGATGGATTAATTTGCTTCTTACATTGCAGTTCTGTGGGAGAGGCTGCATTTATTCATTTACTGAAGGGTGCTGTAAGCACAGGTTTAAAGGAAACGGTCAGTTCTTTTATGGGAATAAAGAAGAAAAGCAAGAAAACTTAAAAATTAACGTTTTTGTTTGATGTAGAAGAAGACATTTATTTATAAAATTATTCCACAGACTGTTTTCCATTGAGAAATGCAGCTTTCGTCCGTCACACGGCTCACTTAGTAAATGCTTGATCATTAAGGAGGTTATTTTGTTTTTCATCTTCAAGGAATGCATTTATATTGTGTGTAAGCCTCAGTTAGAAATTATTAGTTCCTGACAGGTGAGAGGCATTTGAGAAATTAGCGGGTGGAGGCTGTGGATAAATACCACATCATTGGAGTCGCCCTAGGGATTGCAGAGCTGAAAGACTAAGTGCTCTGTTGACAAAGTTAGTTCTGGTAGGAACTGGTTCTGGATGGGTTTGAAGAATTTATGTTGACTACTGCCTGAGCTGAATTTTATTGGTTTTGAGGTTGTCGATTCTGTCCCCTTCAACACCTAAATTCACTTTCAGTAGTAATCTACAAGAAATACTTGGTTTAACTCAATCTACAGGAACACAGAATATAAGAAGGAAGAAAAAAAAACAGTTGTAATGTTCCCAAGTGTGTGGAATAGATACAGATATGGCTTCTTCAACTTTAAAATGTATTCTTTCTGCATTCTTCCCTAATTACTTATCAATACTAGACGAACTGTTTCAAATCTATTAATTTAGAGGCTATAGATACTTCAGGTCAAGTTTTATGAAACTGATATATTAATAAATTGTAGATAACTCCCACATTTGTATACTGTACTTTTTTCTAAGATTAAAATGTTTAAAAACTTTGTTTATTCTTTCATAAGTGAACTCATTTCTTTTTAAATGTTTACTGAGTTTTGATAAATATATACCCCTCCAACTATCACTGATATAGTCAGGATAGTCATCAGTACCTTAAAAAGATATTGAAAAATACTTTTTGATTTTTAGTTAATATCTTGGTGAAACTGACTGCTCTCAACAGCAAATACAAGTTAAGCTTCACTGGTATCTAGCAGTCAATGGGAATCTTCACAATCTGTAAATAGGGTAGAATTTAAATAAGGGAGCAATGTTTTTAAAAATTAAAGTGGTATAAAAGAATTTTAAAAGAATTGAAGCATTTCTAAAACAACAAAGGAATTAAAATTATGTAAGATTATGCTTTAGTACGTGAGAATCAGTGTTCTTTTGGTGTTAGTTGTAGCATGATAAATTTTGATATGTTGACATAAAAATTACCTAGCTTTGGTGAAATCCAGAAACAGGCTTATGGGACTTTCATCTCCTCTTCTTTAATTTTTAAGAATTCAGAGATTCAGAGTTTGTATGTAGATTTTAGTTTTGTAGCTGAATACACTTTTCTGTTGGTGTTTATTTTTGGCATGCTCACCCAGGTACCCGGAAGCTCTCACTGACCCTGCCTACAAAGGACAGATTCTCACAATGGCCAACCCTATTATTGGGAATGGTGGAGTGCCGGACACTTCCGCACAGGATGAACTTGGACTTAGCAAATATTTGGAGTCTGATGGAATTAAGGTAGTACCAAGGATGATTATTTAAGCAGTCTCAATTTGAAGGGGGTATAAATGACTAATTTGTAAGAATTCCTATACTCAACTTTATTTCTAAGTATATGAGAATAATCTTTAATTTGAGATTATTTTGAGTTTCATTTCTCAAGATAGTTTAGATTTTAATGCTTTAATCTTAACTTAGTTTGGAAAAATGTTATTAAAAGTCCAAACAGTAGCTAAGCAATAAGAACTGATAAAGAATCATATTTTACAATACTTAACTCTCCATCCGTTGTTCACTTTCAAATATCGTCAATTTTAGAGAATAAATAAGAGATCGTTCATAGGCCAGTATAAAAGTAGATACATGAAGATTTCCCAGTCAAAGGAATTTGGGTAATATTTTGGTAACAGGAACCGTGTGAACAATTCAAAACTTTATACGCCAAATTGACCATTTTTCACCACTGTATTTTGGGGTGACTTGGGCCATCATTTAGTTAACTCTTGGTATTTCTCACAATTTCCCCCCAAATGTCTCAGTTTACTTTGTGTTTACATAAAGAAAATTATTTTATCCTTTATTTTTATTAAATAAGTCTGAGTCCAATTATTGATAGATGAAATAGGGGAAAAGTGCAGAGTGCCAAGAAGAAAGACTGGCTTAGTCTCAGCATTCAACAATCCAGGTAACCTCCTCCCGCACAGATAAAAGAAACAATTATATATTTAAAAATAAAAGTCTGGGTAACCTTTTGTTTTTCCTATTTCTAAAATTTTATGTCTCATATCAGCAGATACAAAAAAGTATTTCTTGTAAATGCAAACTGACTTTCAAAGTGAGTCACAGCAGAGGGACAGCAGTATATGACCGCTGAACGACTGCCTGCCTTTCCAGGTTGCAGGTTTGCTGGTGCTGAACTACAGCAAGGACTACAACCACTGGCTGGCTACCAAGAGCTTAGGGCAGTGGCTGAAGGAGGAAAAGGTGAGGACGATGGTAGGGCACCCAGGCACCTAGGGACACTTGCTGGGTCTGTGCCAATTTGGAAAGGTATGTGGAGATTCAATAGGGTGGAACAGATGAGAAAGTTGGGGAAGTTTGGAAGTTTGGGATCTTTTCTTTCTTTCTTTCTTTCTTTCTTTCTTTCTTTCTTTCTTTCTTTCTTTCTTTCTTTCTT